TTGGTTTCTCACTGCTTCATTCCCCATCTGGAAAATGGGGATAATATTGCCTGTTCCAAATGTTGGTCTGTTTAGGTCATAAATTGTTTGGTGCAGGGATTGTAATTTCTGCCTTCTGCCTAGACAGCAGAACCCTGATTTCATCCTGGTTGTGGTGGGTGCTACTCTGGTGCAAGTAAAATCATAAAATGACAGATAAGGGACAATTGCAAGGGTGATTCTTTGAAATAACATGTAAAGAAGTAACAGGGTGTGCATTTGGTTGTCTAACTGGGGCATTTCTCATTATAATTAGTGTTGTGATTGTCATCTAGACAGTACAGGGAAGCTAGATAACAATTTTGCACCTTGGTCCTTTTGAACTAGTCACAGGTAATATTGCTTTTTAGAAGCGAAGCCTGCAGGAGCCATGAGCACAAACATATTTTCTCAGGTAGGGATAACATAGCTGTGTGTTTTTTCAAAGACCCTTTTCATTACAAAAATAGTGAATATGTGCATTTTCTCTTATGAAAATGTCTCTGTGTTATTTTTTGAAAGGTTTGTTGAAATGCGAACATTTTGCACTTTTAAAGAAGCATTTGAGAGACCACTTGTGTTAACTGCTGAGAAATGCATTGTTTGCATCAGGAGCTTCCAATTTTACACTATATTGAAATCCACCTGTGTGAAATTAAAATAAGTGTTGTATGGAGGTTGATTTACTGAATTTCCTGCCTTTTGGACCCTGAAAGGAAATTTAAGGGGCTCTGTGTAATTTATGTTCTAGCTTCCATCAAGTGTCAGCTTAAAAAGTACATGGGTTCATGGATCTTTTTGTAGCATTTTCCAAATGTTAAACTATAGTTTATGAATAAGACTTCAGACTATTAAGATAATTATTATTGTTTTAACCTTTATTATTATAAAGAATTTTTTAAAGGTCACGGTGAATCTTATCTAGTTTTTATTGAATATTGAAGCATCTACATAATATGTTTCATGCATTGCTTAAAAAGTAGTACTAGCTGCAATATTCTGATAAAAGGATTGTAGTGAAAAATGTATTAAATCAAGCATGGTGAATAAGAGATGAAAATATATGAATGAAAATGTACATTTAAAAAAAGGAAATAATCCATATTTAAAAATTTTAAAACTTTCTGTGGGCTTTGAACAGGCTCTTATTGTGAATCTCTTAGAATATGTAGTTATGGAAATGACTCCTATTCAAGCCAGTCAACCTGAGTTCAGGAGCTTTTCCTGAGCTAGGTGCATGGACTGGGACTGTACAGATAATGAGTTGTTGATGTGCACAAGCTCTGAATCTTTAAATCTAATTTGAACTAGAAGTGTAGCAAAACTGAAGTACATCTTACAATATTTTACACAATACATAATTATCTTTCCTTTTAGAATTGCATTAGGATTTTATATTGTATGGTATTTGTTCAAACACTAGAAAAGTAGGTTGTATCCTCACTTCTATTTTGCCTTAAAATGCATCGTAGTTAGTTAACATGCTCAATTTAATTAGTTACAGATTATATAGGAAGACCCATTAAATGGATGTGTTTTGGAGCAAGCACACTGATGGGGATTTTCTGACTTGCACATCAAGGATTCAGTCAGGCCCCTGCTACACACACACACACACACACACACACACACACACACAAATATATAACACAATTAACTGGTTAATCACACAGTAAATTTAGACCAGCCACATGCAAAGTAACTAACACACCATAAAACTCACTATCCAGCTATAAAGGAGCCAAACAGCTACAATTAGTGTTTGAAAATGTGTAGCAACTCATCTCTGGTTTCAATCCAGCTTTAATTTGAACGTTTGTCAGGGCCCTCAGAATTGCACCTAACAGACTTATTCCAAGTGCCCCACAGTCTGCTTCTCAATGGGCACGTGTACATGTGTGCCCACCTGCGAAGTTGTTACTGCGCAGTCATTTAGTCCTGTGCTTTAGCAAGTACAAAATGACTGCACAGTAACCATTGGTACTGCGCAGTCCTAGCACTGCATGGGTTGTTTCTGACCCTACTGCACAGTAGCAATGAACTACTGCGCAATAGCTTGTTACTACTGCGCAGTAGCGGCGGTGTCTCGGTTTGTGCCTGCCAGTGCTATGTCGCCATAGCAACAAGCTATGTCTCTGTAGCTTGTCACTTTGGCGATGTAGCATCTCGTGTACACATACCCACTGGGTGCATCTATATGTGCAAATGCTGCTTGATGGGTTTACTCCAGAGTAATGTACTCAGGAGTAAACCCACCCTAGATAGGCATGAAATGTGTGCGCCCATTAGGGAGCAGATTTGCTGCTCCTGGCAGCAGTCTGCTCCTACCCCTCCAGCCCTGCACAGCCTTGGGCAAGTTTGGAAATATGAAATAGCAGTCAGTACCCATTAGCTCCAGAGGTAGCTGTTGTCCCACAGAAAATAATATTATAACGTTAAGTTCAAAACTCATGGTGGCCTACTAAAATAATAGAAAAACACATAATGCTAAATTCTACCTTCATTATTGATTTAAATGGGGATTAGATAGGCATCTAAGCATAAAGGTGGACCTTTATGCTTACACACTGATGTTGCTATTCTGCAATTAGGAAGAAACAAAACCCTGTGAAAGTCATGATCTCTGTGAAGCAGGAGGTATTCCAATCCCATTCCAATGAACTGGGGGGCTCAGGATGAGACTGGGATATTCACATTCTGCTGAAACTCAGCTTCAGTGAATTAGTCTGGTGTTCATTTTGTCACAATTTACAGTCTGCATAATCCAAGAGACAAGGCTTAGGGTTTACGTGAGGGAAAACAACCCAAAGGTTTATAAAGTAGCTATCAGGCCACATTAAAAGGCTGGCAAGAAGCAGAAGAGATTTGTAAGCATGTTGGCAATCTGCTGTCAGCCCTATCTCTGCTTGCATGTACTTACAAAGTCTAAAAATAATCACCTTCCACGGGAAGAAAATGTAGAGATATGTCTTAAAAGCATGGCATTACAGCATGTGGATGGAGAGTCATTACTTTGGGTCCCCTTGTGGTCCTATAGAAACTCTAAAGATAGATCCTGAGCACTAAGTTATCATATCTAGAGTACAGATAATTCAAGATATACCCGGAATATAGTGATTTACAGGAACAATAATTTTTCTGGTGTGGAGTTGGTGCTTTTCATGAGAAGGTCTGATAAGTTTATAGTTCATTTACTGTATCACCTGAGAAGCAGTTACACAGCAGACATTAAACATAGTCTGCTATGTAAAATGAAACAGAAGATCAGGGTTCTTATCCAGCCCTGCCTGGAGGCATAACATATTGCAAGCACTCTGCCATTCTGGGATTCTGTGGCAAGTTGCCTGTGCAGCTCTCAAACTCTGTGCTGCTACCTCACTTTCAGAGCTGTGTCATTTTAAGAAGCTTGTGGGCTATTTTAGTTCTACACACAATGATTGGTACTTAGACACATTTTGCTACAGTCATTTGCCCAAAAATATATTTTGGGAGTGGAGCTTCCTGAGTAGTCAGCGCACATAACGTATAATCTCAAGTATCACATTCTTGCTGTAAAAGACAGTCCATAATGTGAAGATAGCGTTTCCCAACCTTTCACAATATGTTTGAGTTTAGATGCTAAGGATAAACTAATATCCTCTTTGGATACTTTATTTAAAACCATCTACATGGTGGTGCAGTATACCTCCAGGGAAACTTGTATTGCTTAGCTCCTCCAAGAACAGCATTGGATCATAGGCCTCCTGAGGACAGCGACTGTGTTGCTTCAACTCTGCTGTGATGACTGTATGTGTCTGCACAGTGTGAATGCTCTGCACTTGGGCTGTAAATATCCTGTGGCCAACCAGAAAAATAAGTCCCCAGCTAGCATATGCACTGTATGGGAGGTTATCAAGGTTATCAAGTACATATTATCATAGATTATCGTGTCCTGGTACAGGGGGAATTGTTAGGAACATGTCAGAAGTAGGAAGGTGCTGTTTGCTATGCCACCACGCTATAGAAATTCCTGGTGATGTTGCGAAGTGGGAGGGTGTGTGGGGTTCAAAACCATCAGTGTCTTTCCTCTTCCAGGGATGCAGGGTTTATACTGAAACCTAAGTGGTCTACCAGAGAATCTCTCCTAAAGTTCTTCTATATCTTGTCCCATTGTGGCCACGTTGTGTGGGCATTTCACAAATGAATAAGAAATCGGTGCATGCAACATAATACATCTCAGTAGCTAATCTTTTTGTGGGCGTTTGATGTTTATTTTCTCTGGAAAATAAGGCGGAGTTAACAGTTTTATGCCAACACAATTTTTCTTGTTTTATTTTCATTGGTTCTCAACACGTAATTAATGAGAGTATGTGGCATGAGCTAATCCACTATCAACAACAATGAACAGTCACCTAAAAATAGAAGAAATGATGGCAGGGTAGCCCAAAATACTTGGGTGTGCCTTGCAAATCTCTGACCATTAGAGCTCACAAAAGTAAATTAGGATTCCTAGTAAGAGTAATTCTTCATATTTGTAAAAAGAAACCATTTCTGGTTCTTCATGTGAAGTTTATACTATTAATTTTCCAAAGCTAATTTTGAGTACCATTGATTTGCTAAATAGCTGCCTAAGTGCTTTACCCTTTTATGTGCTTTATATACAAATTTACAATCAATTCCCTGCTGTACATGTCAGCATCTCCATTAAAAGGTGGTAGAGAACAAAGCATAGGCATAGGAGCCTTGCAAGGTACTGTGCATTTTCTTTTCTGTTCTGGCAAAATCTACATTTTGAATCACATAAACTTCACACAGAGGAATTTATTTATATTTCATAGGTCACACTTCACTCTTTTAAGCCAAATTTCACAACTTTAGTCGGGCAACATTTCCTTGGATTTCAGTAGAAGTTCTGTCTTGAGTAAGTCCTGCCAGATTGTAATTGTAACTTGGCACTATATTGACTGCATATACTTTCTAATGAATTCTCTTTGCCTTTGCAGTGTTTTAGATGATGAGGGCAGCAGTCTGCGTCAACAAAAGCTTGATAGACAGGTAAGATTTTGGAGCCTGCTCTGGACCCATTTCCTTTTTTAATAAGTAGAGCATTCTCAATTGGATTACTATGGAAACCTTTACTTATTGACACACACACCGCTGATAACTGATAGAATTATTGTGCCAGAAAATTACATTTTGGAATTTTAGGTTCCTGGCCTTCCAGACTGTGCTGCTTATGCTTATGTGATGGGAAGGGAAAGATTTGTGTTGAGATTTGATTTCTTATTACTGTCATTTGAGTGATTCTTGCTTTTTTCTAAATTAGCATTGTATCGTGCAGCTAAGAATACATTATTCCTTTTGGTGGACCATGAAAGAATTGGAGCAACGCACAAAATACAAGTGGGGGGGTGGCAGCCAGTTGCAAATTTCTGAAAACTTTTCAGTAATTTTCATCTTCATCTCATTTCCAGAAACATAGGATTAAGATTGTTTGGTAATCTCTAATGACTGCTGAGTAACCAGTATGCTCCTGTATTTCTATTGCATTCCTAAATGGCTGACATAAAACACTCATTCTGAAGATCTTTGGTGAGATCCAGTGCCTGCTGAAATCAATAAAAAACTTCCATTGGCTTTGACATGGTTACTAGGGCTGCGCGAAGCTTTGGTCCCTGATTCAATTTGGCGGACATTTGGCCCAATTCGGTGCCCGAATCTCCAAATCCGAATAGAATCAGGAGACCCTTTAGTCTCTCTGAATCATATCGGAGCCCTCCATATCGATTCGAAGAGATTCAAAAATATTCGGTTATTTGGACATAGACACAGCTTTAAATGTTTTTTTTCTACATACCTCTAGGTACCAGGCGGCTCATGAGTGCTGCGATGCTGGGGCGCATGGAGTGTCCCACAGCAGTGTGGGGGGGCTCCCCAGTGCGCTTGGCAGAAGACCCAGAAGTACTTCTGGTCCACTTCCGGGTCCGCTGGGGAGCGCTCGACTGGTGACTCCTGGGTCTGGGGAGAACACCTGGGGTTCCCCCGTGGTTGATCACCAAGCAAGGAGGGCATGCGGGGGGGCCCGCGCGCTCCCTGTGTTTGCTGCCGAGCACGTGGAGGGCCCCTCTGCACTCCTGTGGGATGCTGCATCCTCCCCAAGCATCACAGTGTTCATGAGCCGTGCTGGTATGTCAAGATATGTAGAAAAAACATTTAAAGCTGTGTCTGTGTCTAAATCGCTGATTCTCCGAATCAGCATCGAATCTTCAGATTTGGATTCAGCCGAATCAAATTGGGGACAGTGATCCAAATCAACAAATCGAATCCCTGTCCCTGATTCGGGCTCAATCCAAATCAGAATTGAATAGGGCCCGTTTTGCACACACCTAATGGTTAGGGTTCCACCCCTGTCTTTATTTCTTCTTCATCCCCTTGCCAGGAACCTCTGTTTCACTTAGCAGGTATTTTTATTGCCCAGTCAAACCATGTGAGCTGCATTTTTTTTTTTTCTGTTACCATTTCTGTTACATTGTTATGTCCATACCATGCCCATTACTCTATCAATCCATATCATGTTTTGAGCCCCAAATGCTACATAGCTCTGAGACAGTCCCATATCAAGCTGTCTCAGACCCAGATTCTGAGCCCTCCACCATGTTGAGTGACAGCATACTACCTGTGGACTGAAGTACTACTCAGCACAGCAAATTATACATTCCATGTACCATCCACTATGTTAACATACCCCTTTTGCTATTTATAATAGCATTGAATGCCCTTTTTTATCTTTACGTGAGTGAAGTCAAGAAAACACCCCCTGTACAAGCAAACCGCGCAGGGAGCAAGTGAGACAATGGATTGCTAACATTAGCTTTGGTTAGACCCTGCAGATCCACATGGACATGCAAATAGGATTCAGCAGAGTGGTGCTTCATGATATGTTGCCTACCATCATGTTCTTATCCTAGAAGTGCCAGGAGGAAGGGATTGGTTGGTTTTTTAAATCAATCCCCTGCCTTTTAGTGTTAATACGTAATTTTTCAACTGGGGTGGAGGGGCTGCAAATGGAGGAGAATGTGTTTAATTAGTATTCAGAGCATATAATATAATGCTGGACTTATGTTTTGTTTTACTGCTTAATTTACAGATTATTGGTTCTTGATTTTTCAAAAAACTTAAATCAGCCTTTTCATGCCTTGTGCTTTTGGTCCTCATTTTATTGGTTCACAGCTTGTGCTTTCCCTGCTGGCCTCCCAAAGGATGTTGTTTCTAAGCAGGCTCTGACAGTTGCTAGACTGCTTAGAAACATCTATTTTAACTATCTAATGCTTTCAACCGAGCGTTTTAGAAAAGCTTTCTATAGCGTAGTATCACAATCAGAATCCCAATAGATTGTGGTCCTGCCACTTGAAAAATAGTACGCTTCCAGGGAAGTAGCTGTAAAGGTGTTGTGATTCTTAAGGAAGTGTTGCTGTCCAAAGTCAAATAACATGCATTTAACTCCAGCTTGCAGAGCTTCAGATTCCTGTATATGACTAGAATTTACTCTAATAGTAAAGTACTTTTTTTTTGTATTTTCCCCAGCGAGCATTGTTAGAACAGAAGCAGAAAAAAAAGCGCCAGGAGCCACTAATGGTTCAGTCCAATGTGGACAGCCGCACTAGAACACGCAGAACGAAACATTCAGAGGAACAAGCGCCGTTGGTTGAATCCTATCTTAACAGCAACAGCAGCACCATTTACCATGGTATATTAACATAACCTATTGCATGCATGCTTACTAGACGTAGTGCAATATTGTAAAAAAATTGAAGTAAACTTGTGGGAACAAGAATGTAATTTTTTTTAATGAAAGCTTTTATTTGGCTATGGGGATGAAAATAACGATAAAAATGTAGAACTCCAAGGGATAGGTTCACAAGCTCAGCTACTTTTTAGGTGTCAAGTTCAATAGTTAGGTGCCACTGGAATTCCTAAAACCCATGCTCAGCTGTCCCCTACCATAGAGGTGTGTAAGTTTCTGCTGGTAGTCACATGGGATGTATAAAATAAATGCCAAACAGCTTAGGTCTTGAAAGACCTATACAGCTTGACATCTGTTTGTCTACGCCCTAGCAGGGCTAACAAATTAGCTGGTCCCCACTCATGGTCCTTATCTGTGGGGTGCAAACTGATAGACATTCTCAAAGCACATCTAACTCCATGCAAATGATAGGAGACAGGATGAGGGGGTGGTGGTGGGTGGTGTTCTTTTGCCCAGTAACCAAGACAGAGGAGATTTGCATTCATCTGCCTGCAGGGATCTGAACCCATGTCTTCTACCTCCTACCAGAAAAGTCTAACCAGCAAGTCATACAATATTCTGAGCTTGGGTTCCTTCAGTATCTTAAGGACTCTATGGTCCAGTGTTTAGTGTTCAATCCCTGCTCCAATGGCTATTTACATATTTTTTTATATGAAGCAGAACACCTCCAAAAGGTGTAATTGAGAGAGATCCACCCCCTGGACATCCTTAGACCCTTGTAGGTGGGATACTTTCCCAAGACAGGGGTTCCATTCCGAAGAGGCAGTATCTCTATTAGTAATTTAGGAAAACAAGAGTGCAGGGCTTCCTCCTCCGTTGTCTGCAAAAAAAGGGTTGACTCGGGCAGCTAATTTCAGGGTTTTATGACTGTGAATCCCAGCTAGTCACACCCCTCATCCACATTTCTGAGTGGCAGCTACCTATTCTGCATTATGTAAATCCTGTTTATAGTTACCTAACTACATACGTGGTACAGGGAGCAGTAATATAATGGGGGACAGGGATCCAGGCACCTTCTCAAGCACCCGTTTAGAGGAGGTGCAGAAATGGCAGCTG